CTAATTTTTAGAATGGTGTCAGTGGGGTTGGGATTTGGGTTTGGGCTTTTTTTAACTCATCGCTTTTGTGACCAGGTCTTCTGTTTCATTAGGCTCCTTCGTGTCATCAGGACTTCCAATAACTAAAAGAATCCTAATGAAACTTTTATTGGATCTTCCCAAATATTGCAGCTGGCCTTTCTTGTCCATTAGTGCCATTCTGAACTGCATACACTCTCTTTAATTACTTTTTTGTTAATTGGTGGGGAGGGAGGGGGGAGGAGGATTTTCCCCAAGCCAGGAAGAGTTCCCCAACTGAAAAGCTGAGTGGTTCTCCCTGCCCCTACTTGCCCCAGGGGGAAGGTACAAACAGGGCTCAAGCAGGACTGAGCAGTAGAACTTCTGCACGTCCTCTGGCAGCATACCTCTGCCTGCTGGTTGCCTTTGTGTACCCACCTCACGCTAGGTCCAGGCAGCTCTGAGGTGTGGGGCTGCAGGCACCTCCTCGGAGCCCCTCAATCCACTCCAGAGCCTTGTCGGGCTTTTGGACAAGGTGCCGGGAGCAGCTTGCTTACCACATTGGATTTGCTGTCAGGTCACACTGATGATGGGAAAAGACTGCACATGATAGGGTTTTCTCAGTGCCTGTCTGGGGAAAGGGAAGGAGGAAGAAACACTGGTTTAAGGCACCTACCTGCATTTTCAGGAACTGTTCCCAGTTGCTGTAAAGTTGGTTGGTGGGGCAGTGAAATGAATCCTACTGACATCCTGAAACAGATAGGCCTGGTTGGAGTGGCTTCTAAAATGAACAACTCACCTAACCCACCACGGAAAGAGAAGCAAAGAGCTACTTCTTTGCAGGGCCCCTCCTTCGCCTACAGGAATCAGCACCTGTCTGAAGGATGGACTGCCTTCAGGTTGGTTGCCTAATTGCAGCAAGATAATGTCTTTGTACCTCCTGTTTGGTCAGTATGGTCTGTACCCTTAAAGAATATGACATGCACCAAAAGTGTTATCATGTGGTTACAATTTGGGCATGTTATCTCTCATGTTTTCCTGAAGTAGAAGGGACAGTGCTGGATTCACCAACCTTGAAAAAATTGGTGCAAGTGAACCCTTGTATCTCAGCTCATACCACCAGAGACCACGTTCCCTTTCCTGCCCAACACATCTTGTACAGAAGAAAAGACAAGAAAAAGTAGAAGTGTTACCTATATAATTAACATTTTCCATTCTGGGGGCTATGGAAGCTACAGAACAGGAATAGTATGCCAATCACAGCGAGACATTAACCAACAGCCAAAATAACATTGGTCACTATTTTCAGTTTAAGAACAGAAGGCAGAAGCATAAAAGATTTGCTCAATTAATCGTGGGATTGAAAATTTTCCAGAGCCCTAAGGATACTTGTAAGATATAATAGAGCGCAGCCCCCTCATCTTTCATATGGAGGTCAAGCTCACAGAAACTCGGCCTGCTGCGCAGTTTCTGCTTGCCGCAAAATGAGGAATTGCATGCTGCAAGAACCGGCGTCTGGGGGCTGCTTCTGAGAAATTCATGTAGTAAAGCACTTCAATAAAGGTGGCTTACCTTGCTGATAGAATCTTGAAAACAGGGAAATGAAAGGGAAAGACATAAAATGCCTCTCATGACAAAGACTGTAAAATAACTAGGAATAAAAATTTTTTAAAATCTTGTAAACATTTACCTTTGTCTTCACTGTACGCGGCGGGCTGGGGGACATAACGATCATCAAACAACAGAGTAGCAATAACTACTTTCCTTGAAAAAGTGGTGACAGCAAAACCGAAAGGACAAGCTCTGTCACTCATCAACCCACGCTTCTTTTTTTGTAGCCATCCACCATTATTATTTGGCATGCAATTCACTAAGCAGCAAAACCATGGCTGTAGTTATTTACAGGTCACTGGAAGTCTGGCCTGTGCTGCAGTGGAGCTTTGGTTGTATTTCACAAAAGATAGTTTTATTTATGTTTGACTAATGCAGGCACAACTGGAGGCTGATTTTTCTTTTTTTGGCTTTTAGTATAAACACTCGTGGCAGCTCTCTATTTTGGGTGCAGACTGAAAAACAGATTGTTTTGTAGTTGCAGAAGACTGCTGGGTAAATCAGAGGACATTGTTATTGCGACTGAACTTTTCTCTCAGGAAAGCAGGAGGAGTTGCTTTATTTTTTAATTCTGTGCAGTTTTATGTACACCATTCACTCCAAATATTTGATGTTTGCCACACTTGTTATGAGTTTCTCCAGAGAGATGCTGTCTTTTGGCAGCAAAAGATAAAGTTGACTGATACAAATGAGTCACAGTACCCCAACAGTAATTAACAGTGATGCAATACCCATGCGAAAAAGAGGACTTGAAGAATTAACTGTTGAGTTTTCTTGACGATGCAGCTGCACTTTAAGAGAGAAAGCTCAACCCATCATAGAACTCCATTGTGTACATTAGAGAAAAAAGCTTGGCAAGATACATTAAAGATTTTTGCTAAAGAGATACAAATATTTTGCAAGGTCAAAGGGTGCTGAGGCAGGCTGTACTTACTTCCAAAGAAAAGTAGGCAGTATGACAAAGAAACAGTAATATTTTTTTATCTTCATTTTCACACTTCATCATCTAAGAAAGACTGTCTTTCAACCTGCTTAACTGATTTAAGCCACCCCAACTCTAAGTTAACTTTTACTTAGAAGTAAGTCTACGACATCCTAATCTAAGAAGTTATCTGTGCTTATGGTTTCAGCGCAGTTCTACAGAAGGCCAGTACTGCTATTTATAAACTGGGTTTTACTATTCTGTAATGTTCTTATACAAATCTTACAGGTCGAAAGAAAAGGAATAGTTTGGTAAGAAGACGAACGATTGAAGCAACTGTTTTATAGCACAATATGAAACTTGACACTGTTTTCTGCTGCCAGTATGATTCCCAAGTGAGATGGATAAATTGTGGTCAAGACCTGGACAGGTTAACTAGTGGTCATCAGTGCTGGTGGTACCTTTATATACAAAAAAAAAAATGGATACTATTGGACAGGGCATTTGAAATTTAATACCAGACATGAAACAAGACATCTGTTGGACTCTCATTTGTTTCTCTTTGAATGGGCTTTAATTGAAAGCTCAGTGAAAAATGCAGGTTACATTCTTAGTGTTATCAATAGTTTGTAACAGCAACAACATCAGAACAGTGATGCATCTAATATTTATACACTTTCTAATTTTAGATGTCTAAGAGCAATACATTATCAGATATATATATACACACAATTTCAAGCAATTAAAAGTAAATAATAAACCCCTCCTCCCAAACCCCTGAAACAATATATTTCCTTACACTAATAATGTCTTTTTCACATATACTTGACAAAGAGTCTTTTTAAGTTACTTATCTTAAGAGTAATCTGTTAATGGAGATCCTGGACCAGCCCCATTAAAAGTTCAGTTTTAAGTTTATACAGCTTGCTAGCCACATAACCAGTGTGGCTTTACATTGTAAACAAATCCCAAATGTCTACAATGATCGGAATTAGTTTTGTGTAAAGGAGATCTATGCATCTCATGATAGAATAAATTTAAACCAATACATTAAAAAGAGAGAGAAAGGGAGAGAGTTATTTGACAAACAAAACAGTTTGGGGGGATCGATTATGTGATTATTTAAAAAACAAGTTAACTTAGTGGTAAGATTCTTACCATTCTTACAGAGAGGCTCTGGTTCACCTAGCTTTAGCTGCTCTAGAAATACATCCTTTAAAAAAAGGTTTGATTTGTGAAATTTGAAAGCAGAGCTTCCAACTTTAAAAGCTTGCCCTTTGGCAGTACGAGTACAAAGTTTACCAAAAGTATCTCAGGTGATTGTTCCGTCTCATTTTGTGAGGATAGCTGTACTAGCATTTGGAAACCTCAGCATATGCACAGATGCAGTAAGCGTAAAGCTTACCTTCAACAGGGAGGAATCACCCTACCCACTGCAGGACTTAAAAAGGTAAAAACAATATGTACCTAGAAAAGTTTTAGTGAAAATAAAACCAGAAAACTGGAGACAGACGTGGAAGGTAAGCACAGTTTATAGTAATCTTGAAACTGTGGCAATCTTGCCTACTTTTTAACAAAATTACAAATAAAAATCTCTTTCGCTTATTGAACAGGAACTTGTGTAAGTCCAAATGGAAGACAAGGCTGAGCAGAATCCTACGGTTTAGTTAACTTGTGTCAAAGGGGATGCGAAGACAGCTGCAGCTTTCTGACAGAGGTGATCGAAGATGGTTGATAAAGTTTGCAGTAGCTCATAATGTCCCATCTGGTTTATTCACTTGTTTGAACTGTCTAAAGGGCCAACTGCAGTTTAGTCATGTTCCTCTGGTGCATGTTGTGATGACGAACTAATTCATCAGACCTGGCAAATTTTTTTTGACAGCTGGGCCACCGGCAACTGAAAGGCTTTTCACCTGTTAACAAAACACCCTGTTATTAACTGGGTATACAGCACGCCTGAGACACTGCTGTTTGTTTTCTTTCTGCAGGGTTGTGAGGAGCTAGGCAGAGCTCCGCTCAGGAGGAAAGGCATCCCGGGCTGTCCTGAGAGGGTGTGGGAGTGCCCTCGATTCCTGCTCACATCAGTGCTCAGTGCTTTCTTACATCTCCCTCAGCTGATGTTTAACAACAGCCTTTTCAGATGACGTAGAACATTTTGCAGTGGTTCATTCCTGAAGACAGGCCCTTACTGAACACCGTGCTGCCATGTCTATGCTACTCTCAGCTCTCGAACGAACTAGTTTAAAAGTCACTCTGGTATTCGCACAAGCTTCAGTCACACCTTGGACTGTGGTGCAGACACACTGTTAGTCGCTGTGAAAATTGTCAGTGACTATTTAGAGCTTGACTTCAAGTCAAGAAGAGTTTTTTCCCGCTAGTTCAATGAGTTTTGGCTGAAGTTCTTTGAAACTCGTGCGTGTAAGTGAATATCGTAGAAGCAACAGAGTTCAGCATGAAGTCTGCTGAGCCAGACTGAAAGTTCCTCACTACTGTCTAAATAAAGTAGATTTGCATCTGTGGGAGATGTTAAAGGCTCAAAATATTCAGTATTTGTCTAACATTCCCATGAGTATAATATTCACTAAAAATGACCTCAAGCAAAGCACATTCAATTTTAACAAGAAATGCCATCACCTTTTTACAGTTTAATCTGGTCTCTCGATTTTCTACAATGTTTAAGTGGAATTTCAGGCCATGTTTCTGATGCTGCTGATTTCCTGATGGAATGCTTTCATTAGCTCAGAGCAGTGCCCGGTGACTCATGTTTCTTTTAGAATTGCATTTTCTTTTCTTTTTTTTTTTTTCCCAAAATAGATGCAATATTTTAAAGTAGGTTCAGCTCTGGGACTGGGCTCTTCCATGCTGGCTACACACCCCATTCTCTCCAACTCAAGACACACTGGGGTGGTACAAGCTCACCCAGCCATCTTCTCCTCTTCTTTGCCTCACATTTTGTGCATTTCACAAACATCCAAATTCAGACAAAAGGGGATCTGGGATTGGCATAAATGTTGTATATTTCTGTTTGCAAAATCCCGTGCAATATATATATGGGCAGGGGTGGTGTGTAAAATCTACTTTATCCACTTAACATACATGCTGGCAAAAGCATCAACTGTCTCACATGAGTGCATAAAACAGTATGGGACAAAATTGATCTGGTCAGAGCTACTGATAAAAATCACAGATTGTATAAAGTGGTCTTCTTTCATCTCAGCAGCATTAGCAAAACCATCCTGTGAACTGATGCGAATTATCTATTACTGGCCAGTTTTTCACTGAACTACCACAGTAAAAGCAGCACAGTTTAGCTGTTTCACAAGCAATTCTGGTTGTCCTCTCGCAACAGGGGGCAGCAATCTCTATTAGTTCCATGCTGGGCACAAATTACTTTGTACAGCTTCACTGTACAGATATCAGAAATCACATTTCCATTGCTAAAAATCCACATAGACGTATGGCGTTTTCCTTTGATTCACCTTTTTGCTTTCTACAGCAAAGATTGCTGTCACAGTAAAATTGCTTGTGGAGACAAAAAAACCTGAATTGGTAGCTTAACAAATAGTTTGGCAGTTGACTTAAAATTAGGATGGAATTAGATGGAAGTCACCTGTGCTTTGCTTCATCAAGATTTAACATGGAGCAAGTTAACTTGAGCTAGGTGTTTTGTTGCAAAATTTAGGAGGTACAAGAAAGAAAGAGGAATGAAGCTACAGGGCAAGATGGAGATGAAAAATCCCCACCCACCACTCCTGCTCATTCCCCTCAGGATATGTGTATTTTACAGTCAAAGGAGCACGACCCATCCAAACCGCTGACAGGAGCATCGTCACAGCAGCATGCAGCTGGGCTGCCGAGCTCGCACTGAACCTGAGCCAGTGGCAGGCAGCAAGCCCACGCAAAGGTCTGTGCTATGAGGTTATCAGTGCTCAAGTGAGGCTGCTTTCAGCAATGAGTGCAATGTGGGCTTGGATCGCATGGAGCAAGGAAGAACTAGAATGGGGAGATGAGTTTCACTAGAAAAAAGAGAGCAAGTTCTTCACTGATTTAGCTGATCTGGAATAAAAAATTACTGGACTCATCAAAGTCATGACTTAGCAGATCAGTTAGCAATGAAATGTGATGGGGAATGTAGTTTATCCTGACTTGCTAACATGTGACAACCGCTTGCCATTTTGTCTCGACCAGAACGTTACCTGCGGCTGATTAAGAAAATATCTTTCTTCATGCAAAGGCACACAGACCCAGGCCCTGCAGCTCAGCATGAGACTGTGGGGAGAACCCAGGAACACAGCCATGCCCTTTACCATTTGCAGATTGCAAGCGTAGATACGGTCATTACTTGAAGCATTTATTTGGCCGGTGCCCCAGAAAATGCCATTATTCTCAGGTGAATCATTTCCTTTATTAAAATTTCTCTTTATTTTTGAAAGTCTTAAATATGTGTTTTTATGGTCCAGAAGAGAAAAAAGAATCCTTAGCAGGGAGAAAAAGATTTTCAGGCTCCTTGTCCATCTGTACAGAGACTGAATTTAAAAGGTTAACGCCAGTATAGAAAACACTGTGACATCTAATAACATGTCAAAGTGCTCGGTAAACAATTACTTGGTAAAAATACTGCATACATAGTGGAAGGGAACAGAAAATGTCAGTTCATAGGAATAATTCTAAAACTTAAAACTAAAATATAGAGGTTGCTGCAGTTGCTCCTTAATGGTGTTTACATTTACGTGAAGGCAGAGTAGACTAAAATGGCCTCCTATTTTTTTCCCTGTATTTATATGAAATACTATGGTTTCTACAAAAAGGTCGTTGAATATTTGAGTAAGCTTTTACTTTAGTGTCTGTCAGTGTGAGTTTGAAAAAGGCATTCCTTTTATCTTCTGGAGAGATTACAGTACAAGCAGCAACAGCAAGAGCTTTGCCGTGCTATCCTGCATTAGGCTCAACTGACACTTAGGAGAAGCATGAGTAGGCACGAATACTTTAGATTACAGACCTTCGGCTGAAGCTAGAATTAAAATTTCTATCTTGCAGGGTTTTTTCAGTAAAGGCAGTAGATCAACTTGACATTTGTGGGCTGAGACCATGATGTTTATTTCACAATAGCTGACAAAATATATTTTGCCAAGCTGAGATTTCTTTAAACATGAAGAAAGAAAGCGTAGTTTCCAAAAATCACCTAAATCCCTTTGTGAAAAGTGACTATGACACTTGGGGAATGTAGTCACACTGAAAAATCAGCACACTCCGAAATTCCTTCTGTTGTTTTGAATATTTAACTCCTGGTTAAGAGACTTTCTAATCACGTAATTTATAACAACATTGATTTAAACTTAAAAAATAATGAAATATAAATGTGAAGAAAAGTTTACGCACTTGTTTTACCTGTATGAGTCCTGGTATGAGTCTTCAGATGATCGGATCTGGAGAACTTTCTCTGACAGGTTTTACACTGGAAGGGCTTCACACCTGAAAAGACAAAAGAAGTCTATTCTCATATCCCAACACCTTTGGGAAGGGTGAATAAAATCAGCTATTTCTGAATTTTCAAAAGCCTGGATTTTTTTGTAATAGTTACTGTAACTGCTCCTCCCAGCTTCATGCCTACACATTACAGAAAGTCATTAATCAGGTTAACCATCCCTTTGTAACCTCCTCTTC